GCAAAATCTCTCAGGGGGGGGCAAATGTTTGGATGATTGATAAGGATAAGGTCCCCCCATGCAATGGATAAATTAACAGCTTAAGCATGTAAAGGCAACTTCACTTCTTTAATATTAATGAAAAATAAAGTGACTCTTACAATACATCTTGTTTCTTTCTATACTCACTATTGAAACAAACCACTCAAGTTTATTTTATTAAAGATTCCACTAGGTGGCCACAAATTATATTGTTGGATGAAACCTGTTTACGTATGATGACGTAAGTACGTATGATGACGTAGGCACGCTAGGGCGAGCCCTCCCGGAAGCCATAGAGAATGGATTGCAGCACCCCCGTTCGAAAAAAAACATCTTTGAATGTAAGTCTATGGGGGCCACTCGGGGCGATTCTCAGCCGGAGTGAAATCGCCCAAAAAGAGGCGGTACTCCACAGAACGTGACATGACGCTGATTGGACTATATCCAGAGGCTGCAGTGACGGCTAGCGTGACTCTGTGGTTGAATGACATTGGTGGTGCGTCGCCCAATCGCCCTAATGAAGAAACCGCCCCTGCTCACTGCTCACCCTCAACACTCACCCTCACCACTCAACCTCACTAATCAACACTCATAACCGCCACGCACCCTCCCCACTCACTACTCACCACTCATCCTCACCAATCACACCCTCACCAATCACCACTCACCCTCACCACTTACCACTCACCCTCACCACTCACTACTCACCACTCACCCTCACCACTCACCCTCACCACTCTCCCTCACCATTCTCCCTCACCACTCTCCCTCACCACTCACCAGTCACGCTCACCACTCACGCTCACTACTCACCCTAACCACTCACCACTCACCCTCAACACTCCCCTCACCGCTCACCATCACCCTGACCACTCACCACTCATCCTCACCAATCACCACTCACTGCTCACCCTCACCACTCACGCTCGCCCTCACCACTCACCCTCACCACTCACTACTCACCCTCACCACTCACCCTCACCACTCTCCCTCACCATTCACCAGTCACGCTCACCAGTCACGCTCACTACTCACCATAACCACTCACCCTCACTACTCACCACTCACCCTCCATCATTCACCCTCAAAACTAACCACCCTCATCACTCAGCACTCACCACTCATGCTCACCCCTCACCACTCACCCATCACAACTCACAACTGCCACTCACCCTCACCGCTCACTACTCACCCTGACCACTCACCACTCATCCTCACCAATCACACCCTCACTGCTCACCCTCATCACTTATGCTCACCCTCACCACTCACCCCTAACTAATCACCACTCACCCACCCCACTCACCCTTACTACTCACCACTCACCCTCACCATCTCCACTCACCACTCATCCTCACCACTCACCGTCACAACCACCACTCACCCTCACCACTCAACCTCACCCTCACTACTCACCATTCATCTTGACCAATCACCACTCTCCACTAACCCTCACCACTCCACCTCACCACTCACCCTCAAAACTAACCACTCTCTCACCACTCACCCTCACCACTCATGCTCACCACTCACCCCTCACCGCTCACCACTCACCCATCATAACTCACAACTGCCACTCACCCTCACCACTCACGCTCACCACTCACCGCTCACAACTGCCACTCACCCTCACCACTCATCCTTATAACAACCACTCACCTTCACCGCTCACCACTCACCCTGACCACTCACCACTCATCCTCACCAATCACACCCTTAACCTCACTGCTTACCCTCACCACTCACGATCACCACTCACCCCTCTCTAATCACCACTCACAACCGCCACTCACCCTCACCACTCACCCTCAACACTCACCCTCAAGACTCACTACTCACCACTGATCCTCACCAATCACACCCTCACCAATCACCACTCACTACTGTCCCTCACTACTCACCACTCATCCTCACCAATCACCCTCACTGCTCACCCTCACCACTCAACCTCACCACTCACCCCTCACTAATCACCACTCACAACCGCCACTCACCCTCCCCACTCACCCTCACTACTCACCACTCATCCTCACCAATCACCACTCACCCTAACCACTCACCACTCACCCTCACTACTCACCCTCATCATTCACCCTCAAAAGTAACCACTCTCCCCACTCAGCACTCACCCTCACCACTCACTGCTCACCACTCACCCATCACAACTGCCACTCACCCTCACCACTCACCCTCACCACTCACCCTTACAACAACCACTCGCCCTCACCGCTCACCACTCACCCTGACCACTCACCCTCACCAATCACACCCTCACTGCTCACCCTCATCACTTATGCTCACCCTCACCACTCACCCCTCACTAATCACCACTCACAACCGCCACTCACCCACCCCACTCATCCTCACCAATCACACCACTCACCCTCCACCCTCACCACTTACCCTCACCACTCTCCCTCACCACTCACCAGTCACGCTCACCACTCACGCTCACTACTCACCCTAACCACTCACCGCTCACCCTCACCCTGACTACTCACCACTCATCCTCACCAATCACCACTCACCCTCACTGCTCACCGCTCACCCTCACCATTCACCACTCACAACCGCCACTCACCCTCACCACTCACTACTCACCCTCACCACTCACCATCACCACAAACCTTAACCACTCACCCTCACCACTCACCCTCACCACTAACCCTCACCATCACTACTACTCACCACTCTTCCTCACCACTCACCCTCCACCCCTCACTACTCACCCTCACCCTCACCACTAACCCTGACCCCTCCCCAATGACTACTCACCCTCCCCACTCACCACTCACCCTTCCTAATCACCACTCAACCTCACCACTCACCCTCACCACTCTCCCTCACCATTCACCACTCACGCTCACTACTCACCCTAACCACTCACCACTCACCCTCACTACTCACCCTCACCACTCACCCTCATCATTCACCCTCAAAACTAACCACTCTCTCACCACTGAGCACTCACCCTCACCACTCATGCTCACCACTCAACGCTCACCACTCACCCATCACAACTGCCACTCACCCTCACCACTCACCCTTACAACAACCACTCACCCTCACCGCTCACTACTCACCCTCACCACTGACGCTCACCCCTCACCACTCACAACCGCCACTCACCCTCACCACTCACCCTCACCACTCACTACTCACCACTCACCATCACCACAAACCCTAACCACTCACCCTCACCACTCACCCTCACCGCTAACCCTCACCACTACTACTCACCACTCTTCCTCACCACTCACCCTTACCACTCACCCCTCACCCTCACTACTGACCACTCACTCTCACCACACCCTCAGCACTCACCCTCCCCACTCACCCTCACCACTAACCCTGACCCCTCACCACTCACCCTTACCCTCACCACTCACCCCTAACCACTCACCCTCACTACTCACCATCACCACTCACCCTACCTACTAAGCCTCACCACTCACCCTTACTATTCACCACTCACCCTCACCACTCACCCTCAACATCAACACTCACCATCACCACTCACCCTCACCACTCACCCTCACCACTCACTCTCACCACACCCTCAGCACTCACCCTCCCCACTCACCCTCACCACACACCCTCACCACTCACGCTCACCAGATAATCGATTCTTGGCACGGTCGGGTTTAAACTTAATTACACAGTTGTATTTTAAATGTATTTTTTCCCTCGGGCAACGCTGGGTATATCGAGTTTATAGCTCAAAGTCCTCGCCTGACACGTGTGGGGTGTCGAGGCCTAGTACCGTGCAGAGCCTCCGGCCTCGCCTAGATTGCCCACCCGGCCGAGGCTGGGTGCTGGGCCCGCTACCCCCCCCCCCCCCCCGCGCTAGAATACTGTCTAATCGCTATAATTTTATTATCTACCGACCCTATAATAGTAATTGCGCACACTGGAGTGGGGGGGAGTGAAGAGGACGTGAAACTTTGATTAATTTACCTCAGCGTTGCGTGTTAACGCGTGTGCATATTTTTAACGGGAATTAAAAATTGCGTCCACCCCGCAGCGACGGCGTTGCTGCCCGTTGCACGGGACGTGCCTCCCGGCAAATTTTTTTCGTCCTAAACCCCACGGCCCGAGCGCCAAATCCCTCGCAAGCGAGCGTACGCAGACAGACGGACAGACAGACAAAAAGTGATGTTTATAGGTAAGATGGCACGTACAGCAAAATCTCTATCGCGTACTTTACCATCCGGAATGCTCTATTAACCGGCATCTGTAATACGGCAATATAAATATTCCTTCAAGTATAAAGAAAAATGCTGGCATCTTGCCAGCATTGTGATCGTGTTGTGGGCTGCCTAATTGTTGCACTGTTCTTGGAAGACAGTACTGCACTACTGTATACTGTAATCTAAACAGCACCATTGCTTCTCTACAATTAACTTAGAATGCTATACAAATGACTGGTGAGTACCTCTGTAAAAGAGTTAATTATTTTGAATATCATAGTTAAAATGTATGCTTAATTTCTTCGTTGAAAAATGTTTTTATACTTGAAATAATTTGCTAAAACATTAAGTATACCTTTCAGATAACCGGTAAATTTGATGAACTGGCATCCTCGATTCCCCATAGATGGTGGATAAGAGTTTTTGCTGTATATGCTCTAAATCAGATCATACGTGTTAAAAATTATCACTAAATTATCAAGAGACACATTGCCAACATTGCACTATGGCATTAAAATATACTGCATCACATTACAGCAGATTTACTGTACTCTGTTCTCTGAATGGATGCCTACACCTGCATGCATTCGTAGAATGAGATAATCCAAGTGATAGCACGGTTGATATTTGTTTAAAGAGGTTCACAGTTCGTGGTGGGTTTTAACGACAAATTTATATATTTATGCGATCTAACTAAAAAAAACTTTATCATGCGAAAGGCCCATGAATGAAATGGAACTTTTTTTATCCTAAGCTCAATGATAAACATCTACTTGGTCTCCATTTCACTCAGTATTGCCTAAAAAATCCACCCACACCTCCACATCCACAAATTGCTGGGAGTTGCCTCGCTCTGCCTCAGAGTCCACAGTCTCCTCCAGCTTAAAGCTGCCTCGATCGACGTGAAGGTCGGATTTTGGAGTTGAATCTTCATCCTCACATTTTACTAACACTTCTTCACTCTTGACCGTTACTTCACTTTTCACCTTCGCCAATTCAAATTTCATTTTCACTTCTTGACATTTCACCTTCACTCCTGGCCACGTTTCGTATCTCAAATGTTTTTCTGATTCTTGTTTCATGAGGGATGAACTCATTGCAACACTTTGACTTCCACAAGCCGATTTCAGATTAATTTCCTGATTAATGGTTTGATGCTTGTTTCGATCCCCTAACTGTCGAAAACCCTTCCCATACACAGTGCACTTGAAGGGTTCTTCTCCTGTGTGTGTTTGCTGGTGTTTTTTAAGATACGACAACCGTGAAAATTCCTTCTCACATGCAGTGCACTTGAATGGCTTCTCTCCTGTGTGTATTCGCTGGTGTATATTAAGATTTGATGAACGTGCAAACGCCTTCCCACACACAGTGCACTTGAAGGGCGTTTCTCCTGTGTGTATTCTCTGGTGTCTTTTAAGATGTGATGAATGTGCAAATGCCTTCCTACACACAGTGCATTTGAAGGGTCTTTCTCCTGTGTGTGTTCTATGGTGTGTTTTAAGATGTGATGAACGTGAAAACACCTTCCCACACATAGTGCACTTGAAGGGTGTTTCTCCTGTGTGTATTCTCTGGTGTACTTTAAGAAGTGGTGAATGTGCAAATGCCTTCCCACACACAAGGCACTTGAAGGGTCTTTCTCCTGTGTGTATTCTCAGGTGTATTTTAAGATGTGATGAACGTGCAAACACCTTCCCACACACAGTGCACTTGAAGGGTGTTTCTCCTGTGTGTATTCTCTGGTGTATTTTAAGATGTGATGACTCTGCAAATGCCTTCCCACACACAGTGCACTTTAAGGGTTCTTCTCCTGTGTGTGTTTGCTGGTGTTTTTTAAGACATGATGACAATGAAAATTCCTTCTCACATGCAGTGCACTTGAATGGTTTCTCTCCTGTGTGTGTTCTCTGGTGCATTTTAAGATATGATGAACGTGCAAACGCCTTCCCACACACAGTGCACTTGAAGGGCGTTTCGCCTGTGTGTGTTCTCTGGTGTATTTTAAGATATGATGAACGTGCAAACGCCTTCCCACACACAGTGCACTTGAAGGGCGTTTCTCCTGTGTGTATTGTCTGGTGTCTATAAAAATGTGATGAAAGTGCAAACGCCTTCTCACACACAGTGCACTTGAAGGGCATTTCTCCTGTGTGTATTCTCTGGTGTGTTTTAAGATGTGATAAATCTGCAAACGCCTTCCCACACACAGTGCACTTGAAGGGCGTTTCTCCTGTGTGTATTCTCTGGTGTGTTTTAAGATGTGATGAACGTGCAAACGCCTTCCCACACACAGTGCACTTGAAGGGCGTTTCTCCTGTGTGTATTCTCTGATGTGTTTTAAGATGTGATGAATATGCAAACGCCTTCCCACACACAGTGCACTTGAAGGGTCTTTCTCCTGTGTGTATTCTCTGGTGTGTTTTAAGATGCGATGCACGTGCAAACACATTCCCACACACAGTGCACTTGAAGGGTGTTTCCCCTGTGTGTATTCTCTGGTGAGTTTTAAGATTTGGTGAATGTGCAAATGCCTTCCCACACACAGTGCACTTGAAGGGTGTTTCTCCTGTGTGTATTCTCTGGTGTCTTTTAAGATTTGATGACTGTGTAAAGGCCTTCCCACACACAGTGCACATGAAGGGTGTTTCTCCTGTGTGACTTCTCTGGTGTATTATAAGATGTGATGACATTGCAAATGCCTTCCCACACACAGTGCACTTGAAGGGTGTTTCTCCTGTGTGTATTCTCTGGTGTCTTTTAAGATTTGATGATTGTGCAAAGACCTTCACACACACAGTGCACTTGAATGGTTTCTCTCCTGCTGATTGTCTTCGCTCCATCTGACCAATTCTGTACAGCAAAGTGGCAGAGGAACTGGCAGCTGTAGACAGAAAACAGTAATATCCACACATTGTATGTCAGCATAGAAGCATAGAAATGTATATATATATAGTCACATGTGATTTTTTTACTTAAAACTTTCGTGACTGCAGGAATTCATATTCTTTGGTTCTTTCGGTAAAGTCACGTAGATATAACAATATAAATAAAGTGAATAAAAATATCACGACGTTTCGATCGCAACTCAAGCGGTTGTCATCAGGCAGAGGAGTTAGCCTCTAAAAGCAAAATGTTCATAAAGGTTCGGGGATATTGCATATATATACAGTCACACATGATATTCAAGTATTACATAGACAAGAACACTCAAACATTAACGAGAAATAAAAAAAATCACTTCCAATGCAACACACAGGCTGTTTTAAGGCACTATCTACAATTGACGATCAGCTCTTGGCCTAGCATAGCAAGCAAGTGGTCAGTATAATGCCTGGAGGCGCTAGTACAGTAAAACCTTGAATTGCGAGTAACTTGGTCTGCAAGTGTTTTGCAAGATGAGCAAAAATTTTAAATAAAAATTAAGTTTATAAACGAGCGAGGTCTTGCAATAAGAGTACTATGTATACGCTTTGTCTGCCGAGCGTCACGTGATCACAACTGATATACGAGTGGTTTGATATACGAGTGCTTTGGATTACAAACACGTTTCCGGAACGAATTATGCTCGCAATCCAAGGTTTTACTGTATATTTAATATCAATGATAACCGTAAGTCTACCTACAGAATTTCGGTTGTATCTGGCTACTGAAGAAATGTTAACTATTGAAAAGTCTGATAAAAAGAGCAAATGGTGTTAAAAATAAAACTATTCGCATTGGGCAGAAATATTATAAAATGGACAAATTAATGTTCAATTGCAACTTGGAAGTCCGAAGCCAGGCTCAAATTTGCTTGAATACTCGGATGGACAGATGTAATTTCAGGTTCATGTGCTATGTTTTCCATGTTTATGAAACGTTCCATGTGTCGGGGCCTGTACAAAGGAAGGTTCTAAAAGGCGTGCATTGTGATGATTGGAAACAGGTGACCAGTAGGCACTGTAATAATTATTCAATTCAGGACACACATGTTATAGTAAAGTGGGGGGGGGGCATTGTCTGATAGGGGCGGGGCCGAGCGAGTATATAAAGTGGAGTGAGGCCCGCGGTCGGGGAGCTTACTAATTGACGACCAGAGGTGGATGACATTGGGGCCGACTGTGGAAACCATCGGGGTTGACTGTTCAGGTATCAACTTGGTGGAAACCATCGGGGCTGAAGATAGCCATAGAAATTACGAGTGTGAAAGTCGTCATGGGACCTCCTTTGCCAGTACCAAAATATAAGAATAGGTTTTTCCCATTTTTTTTGAGGTCATAGCTGTGGGCAAGAGCAACGGTCCAGGCAGCTTCCTCACCATGTTAGACAGTCTAATTAAAGAATTCTGCTCGACTAATTTGAATTGAGACTTTAGCTGCTAAACCAGACCTGTTCGTGAACACATTAACCAAATATGGGAGCTCCTCCACCACCTGTAGAACTGCCTGGTTACTCAATAAGAGGCGAGCAGGCGGAATCTTGGATGACATGAATACACAGGCAGGTGCTTTATTTTTTTGGAACATATGTAAGGCTCCCCCTCATGATGAAATTATCCAGGTACAGAACAAGAGTCCCAAACTCCATCGCATTTAGTAGCCATGATCAGATCATGAGCATACATAACATGCTTGACCAGCAGGAAACGATCCCTTAAATATAACCAGCCATCGATTAGCCTCTCATTGTAACTGTACCAAATGCATTTTTGTAGGGCCATTGTGAGGTTCTCAAAACTATGTAAGTATTGAAGATGCTATCTTAATGTACAGACAGTCCCCGGGTTATCGAAGGGTTAGGTTCCCGGGAACGCTCCGTAACCAAAAATCAAGACGAAATCCCATAGCAGGAATAGTTGTGCCGCCTTGTTGTATATATAGGCCTTTTTCCAAAATTTATATTAAGAATACAGTGATACCTCGGTTCACGAACGATTCTGTTCACGAACAACTCGGTTCACGAACAGAAAAGTTCATAAAAATATGCTCCGGTTCACGAACTCCGCTTCGGTTCACGAACAGGAGCCGCGGCCATTTTAATGCTATTTCCAGGCTGTCACATGGTCGTGACTTCCTATAGGAAGATCGTGGAGAGAAGAGGAGACACAGAAAGAAGTACTGTGAGTACTGTGAAGACACTTTCAGTGACTTTTTGCTTTTTTGGTGTGCTTTTTAGCACATACAGTACTGTACTGTACTACTGTACTGTACTGTACAATACTGTACTTACTGTATTGTACAGTTCACCCGTTTGAGTGCTTACTGAAGTCATCTCAAGCAAGGTTAGTGTTCTATCTTTATACATTACTATACTGTACAGTACTAATGTGTATTGTAATTTGTTTCATATTTTTGTGCTTCAAAAACAAAAAAAAAAGGTCAGAATGGATTAACCGGATTTACATTGAACCCTATGGGAAAATGTGCCTCGGTTCACGACCAATTCGGTTCGCGACCAGAGTCAGTTCACGAATTAAGTTCGTGAACCGAGGTATCACTGTAATTCTGCCAATATTTTTTGTAATAATAATCGATAAAAAATGAAACAAACAACCTCAACCCCGCTACCTCCCACAAGCCACACCAAGCATCTGGAGGTCATAAAGAGCCATTCAATAATAAACTCCAGGGAAAAGAGAGGGGTTAACGGCGATCTGGCGCTGTACGGGCTAGGTGCTGAGTTCGGCATGGACCGACAGAGTATCGCTGAAAGTTGTATTCTACATTTATTCTGATATCCTGATGTCTTGAGTCAAGGATTGTGATAAGTTGTATTGTACTAAGCTATCAGAGTTATGTAAGAGGTGTGCGAATACAATTTACAAGTTTTGAGAGTGAGTGACCCAGCCAGCGACGAGCAGCTCACAGCAGGAGCCCTCTTGGAGGATGGGCGGAGAGCACGGAAGTTGAGCAACGACGAGGCGAAGCCCTGAAGGAAGGGTGGGAGAGGCACCACTGAATGCCCGCGCAAAGTTGTCAGCTGCACGATCAAGGAGAGAGCAAGAGAGAAAGAGTGACGAGCAACGACAAGCAATCATCCTGGAGAAAGGGCGGAAAGCACCAAGCATCGACCAAGCCAGCATCGCAGAGGACCAGCTGCAGCGGACGAGCTGCAAGCGCAATTGTGCATCGCCAGAGAGCTCGGAGTAGAAGAGAGCTCTCAACCAGCGCAACCAGCTCCACCGAGCGCGATCGAGCACCTTCCAAGACAAGCGTCATGCCGACTCAGCTCATCCAGCAGTGAAAAGAGCCTGCAGCTGCTGCCGAGCGAGAGAGAGCGAGAGCGCCATGTGTATGACACGCCCACACACACGACTCATCACTCAGCAGGGAACAAACTAATTTTTGGTACAAGAAACGCCCAACCTCGGTGTCTGCTTAATGCAAAGAGGAGACAATCCACCCACGCACACATAGCGGGACTAATAAGAGTACTCCAAAAGTTCTCCTTGTGTTTCACCCATTGAGTTACGTGGATATGGTCGTTGAGAAGTATTTTAGTCATTATTTTTGTTAATTGCCTAACTGTACGAATCTACACACTCAGGGTTATTATTGTGTTAAACTCTTTCTTTTGATCACAGAATCTTGCCCGCAAATTTATTGAAGCCTTAGCCAATTGATAAGCATTTGCTGAAGCAGGCACACTGCCGCACACCATTGTTCCAAGACATTTCGTTAATTGCATAATCTTACCAATGAATTCATTGAGGTCTACTTTTGCTTTCGGGACATGTTTCTTTATTGCTATTTGCATAAATATTGTCACATTAATTTTTAAGGACTTTTTCCCATCGCCGTGAATGCTCGCTTTACCCTGAGGAATTAACCAATTGTTCTGCTACCCAGTTTAACAAACGTAATCATTGAGGGTTAAATGTACGGATCAATGAGGAGTACCGTGTTGACATTCCTAGCATGAAAGTTCGCATATTAGAGTGTTTTTGTTTAGAGTTTAAAGTTGCTTAACACAGAAGAGTCTTGAGTGGTGCCTTCCTAAGTTCATGCATAATAATCTTAATTATAAGAACTGTATCCTGCGGTGATATCTGAATCTTGAGACCTGACATAAACACACTAAGACATAATCAGTAAAAGTTAAAGCAAGAATCATTGTATTATCCCGATTGATAATAAAACCCTAGAGAACGAAGCCGAGCTTAATCGGCATACTTATATCACACTTGCAGAGCTTCATACAATTCATTGTATTATCCCGATTGATAATACAACCCTAGACAACACTGCCTAGCCTAATTATCATAATTGCATACATTAGCATAATTGCATACACTTGTATAACTTAATATAATTACACCCACAATTAGCATATACAAATTTTCATAACTACACAACTTAGCCTAATTTCAGGTAATTACACGTTTTAAATTTTTCATTTAATTTTTTATTATCTTTATTAATTTTTCAAGACCCGACATATACAACACGCCCCTACCCAATTACTTATTCATTTTCTCTCAGTACTGTATCGCGCTATAGTACGTTTTCTATCGCGACCTGTATCGTATTTCTGTACATACGTTCTGCACTTCATATGATTATTTCATTTAATAGAATATCTACCCTAACACTACCCATAATTAAACTAATAAAATATATACTTATCCAATTATTTATGAACACCATGAGACATTAATATTAATTGATAACAGAAAAGCCACTTCCGAATATTCATTTATCGGCCAATAGACGAGGCCTAGAACTCTCCGATCGCTGTTGGCTGAGACCATAAGCAATCGAAAGTGTAATTGTGTTAAATAATTTGATTATCTATGATTTTTATTTAATTTTCTATCTACGTGACTTTACCGAAAGAACCAAGAATATGAATTCCTGCGGTCACGAAAGTTAAGTCCAAATTTAAATTAAGTACATAATGTAAATAACTATTGAAATAAACTTCCAATGAAAACCATAAAGAGAAACAAGGGAAAAACAAGATAGTTCTAAGCACAGAAAACCAAGATTACATAATAGTCCAAAAGAATAAGAATTAGGTAATGCTACAAAAAATTTCATTTACCTTAATCTTTTCCAGTCATTATTGCAATTATGAGTGACGTTACACTGAAAGTTACGAGACGATGTAGCGGGTACAATATATGCACGGTAACACTGTAACAGCATGACTGAGAGTGCAGAGTGGCAACACACCACCGCCTTGGGGAAGATGCTGCCTGCCTTATGCCTCGCTCCGCGGTATTCATCCACAACCTCACCGTGCTGGACTACTTGCGCTTAACTAAAGCAAAAATAACCACATGTTGATTTTTTTTTACATGATTTATGGGAGCATGTCCATAAGGTTGGATTTCCGTAAGTCGGGTCTTCCGCTACCCGGGGACTTACCGTAATGTATGTGGCCAGAGGGAATTCCTGTCACACGCCAACTTGAACAGGAAACGGCTCCGAATCCTTGTCACGCAGCTTTTTCCGGGCCTGCCCAAAATCATGAAAATCCTTAATGAATGTGAGCAAAGGGGCAGGGATATCGAAAACAAGGGACGACCAAAAGCCGAAGCTTTTTCATGGTATTTAGGCCTTGATTACATAAAGAAAGCAGAGGTCTAGTTTCTGAAAAAAAAATAGATAAATCTGTGCTGTAGCAGATGAACAGAAAATACAGGAGACCATTGAATATCGCGGAGGTTATGTTTTGGGAATGTGCCGAGAAAGCCAAAATGGTGATATTCACTATGTAGTGAGTCCAACTGAGTCACAGACATTGTCTTGGGAGGAACACTATTTATTTCACCAACTCAACATAACATAACACAACCTACACTTGGGTGTTGAATGCCCATCTAGCCACGCTATGGCAGAACTAGACATGGTTCGCTTTCGCGGCCCAGACCACAAGCTGGGTCGCATATCTGCATTTCCCATAAATATGCTAAATTCCTATTGATATGGAAATTATTTTGTCAAGACGCTCTTCGCCCCTCCATCCCAGCATGACTAGTCGCTCCAAGCCTGGAGCGTGCCATTCAGACTCTGTCTACTTGACAGACCTGTTCTCCACCTGAAGACGGCTGCTTGCATTGTGGTCATTGCAACTGCACGAGGTGAGATCTTGCATGGAGCCCCAGGTCGAGGGAGATTGACAGTTCTTTTGTGTTTCTTCCATTTGTGAATAATCGCACCAACTGTTGTCACCTTCTCACCAAGCTGCTTGGCGATGGTCTTGTAGCCCATTCCAGCCCTGTGTAGGTCTACAATCTTGTCCCTGACATCCTTGGAGAGCTGGTCTTGGCCATGGTGGAGAGTTTGGAATCTGATTGATTGATTGCTTCTGTGAACAGGTATCTTTCATACAGGTAACAAGCTGAGATTAGCAGCACTCCCTTTAAGAGTGTGCTCCTAATCTCAGCTCGTTACCTGTATAAAAGACACCTGGGAGCCAGAAATCTTTCTGATTGAGAGGTCAAATACTTTTTTCCCTCATTAAAATGCAAATCAATTTATAACATTTTTGACATGCGTTTTTCTGGATTTTGTTGTTGTTATTCTGTCTCTCACTGTTCAAATAAACCTACCATTAAAATTATAGACTGATCATTTCTTTGTCAGTGGGCAAACATACAAAATCAGCAGGGGATCAAATACTTTTTTCCCCTCACTGTACATGGCAAAGGTTGAGGTGCCACCGATTTCCTCGCATTCCTCACCCACCCCGCGCTCCTTCCCAGAACAGTATAGCCACGAAAGTGCAAATTGGTATGCAAAGAGGTTGCCCGTTATAGGTGAAACTGCAAAAAATAAACCCGTGATATTCAAGGGTCGACTGTATGACATTTGCGCAAAACTGCCCTGGCCAGAAAATCACAACTGGGCTTTGCAAGCTTCTTCTCTGCAGGTCTGTCAGGCTGAATATTTATTATCTGGCAATCAGTGTGGTCGAACGTTAGATCTTCATCCAATCCAGCAGAAATCATCGTTTAGTCCATGTTGTTGTAATAATATTCCGTATTTCAACCTGTGTAAAATCACCACCCTTCCTCAGCTCCTTCCTTTGAAAGTCCATTATTCCCGGCACTAAAACTGCTCTTAGACTCTGGGTTGCCCAAGCCGTGCAGATGTCACCAATCACAATATTCTGGGTTCACACTGTCACAAGATGGTGCACCGGCCAACCACTGACAGAGTGTGGTGACTTCCTGGAATATTAAAGGCATAGCAAAAGCAACAAATACAACAGCAACAACCGCTATTCGCCACTAAGTGGTGGTGACGTCACCACAACGCTTATGCCAGGCTATGCGCACGTTGAGGCCACGTGAAGTGTCGAACGCCCGCTGGCACGAGGTCACGGGACAGATCCAGGCGCCACGGGTCGATTGACCAAGATGACTGGCTGAAGCACCACCTGCGCCCCCTACTGTGCCAACTTTCTGTACTTTAGCCACCCGGCGCTCCGCTCGTTGTTGTGAGCGTCCCTCCTCCGCCCTCCATTGTTGTTGGAAGGCGACTGCCTCCAACTGCCAAGTAGCGTCCTTCACGAGCCTCCTCCACAGAGGCCGATCTTGACACTGCTGGTACCAGTCATCGGCAAGTCCACTCAGCTCCACATCCTTCTGCACCACATTACTCCATCTCTTCTCTAGCCCGTACAGCGCCCGTTTAGCCCACTCGATCTGGCCAAACAAAAGCTGTTTAGACATGCGGTGGCTGGGCATGCGGGCTACATGACCCAGCCAACGCAGCCTTGCCTGATGGAGGAGCTTACCAATGGGACTTTGTCCAGCTCTTTCAAGGATTTGTGAGCTCCTCACACAATCTAGCCTGGTTAAACCCAGGATGGATCGTAGGCAGGCCAGCCTAAATGTTTCTAACCGGTGAAAATGTTTCATTAGGGGGGTCCACGTTTCACAAGCATAGAGAAGGGAAGGAATGACTGTGGTCGAGAAGACCCGAAGCTTCGTGCGGAGCGACAGACCAGGTAACTTCCACACAGCGTTAGGCAACCGATGAAAAGATAATGCCGCTCGACTGATTCGGAATGAGACCTCTGCTGTTAAACCGGAGCCGGTCATGAGCACACTGCCCAGGTATGGGAAACTCTCCACTCTCTCCACAACTGCCCCATCACCGATTGGGAGTTGTGGGGGTGGAATTCCTGATGGTACAAAATACCCAGGCAGGTGCTTCGTTTTGGTGGGGTTGATGGTAAGGCCCCAGCTCTTAGTGGCACACTCCAGTTTCAGCAGCAGTGCCTCAAACTCCTCCTCTGAGTGAGCTGTGATTACCAGGTTGTCGGCATACATAACGTGGTTGACCAATAGGGAGCCATCCCTTGACCGCACCCGGGCATCAATCAGCCTCCCATTGTATCTTTACCAGATGAAAAATCCTCCGTTACAGCTATTGAAGGCTTCACGAACCAGGTCGTCGAAATAGATGTTAAATAATGTGGGAGCCAGAGGACATCTCTGTCACACTACAAGGTGTAGAGAGGGAGTGGCTCCGACTCTCGGCCACGTAGCTTTACCCGGGCTCGTTCACCATCATGAAGGTCCTTAATGATCGTGAGCAGCGGGTCAGGGACTCTGAAAGCACGAAGAACAACCCATAGCCCAGGCCTACTGATGGTATCAAAGGCCTTTGCCAGGTCAATAAAGCAGAGATGTAGGTCTTATGTTCTTTCTGGAGGAGCGCTGAGGGTAAGGATTCAGTCTCCTGGCTCCATCAAATTGGGTTTGGCCAGGAGACGTCATAAGACGCCTGTCCCTCCGGGTCTCGCACCCGTCCAGAGCCTCCATTTGGCCACTGTGGTGGTTACAAACACCATGAAGGGAAAGGCCAATCTAAATTGTCCTTCCCCCCAAGGCACTGCCTACCACAGCGTTGCCATCCGGTACCACGAGAAGGTAGGGGGTTGTTTTTTGCTGGACCAACAAATGCATATACACAAACACAAACATTAAAATACACAAACCTGTGTTAGCTACCCAGCACGTTAACACACTCCCAAAACACGCTCTACAAAAGCAGTAATACTAAAAGAGGCTAAAAATGCAAATAAACAAACAAGGTTAAGTGTTAACTTACACTCGCAGTCAAATAAAATGCATTAACACACATGACCATATTCCATTGCACACACATACACACAGTTACCCGCAAAGAACCACCATTTAATTAGCCTTTACAAAAAGTTCAGGAGTGGGTGTATGGCCAGCACCACACCCGACCGCTTTTGTTTCCCCAGTGGCGATGTTTATACACTGCACAAGGTACTCATTTGAGGCTGAGTCGATCAATGGAGTACCAAGTCTGGTTCAGATAGTCACTGGTGTTGGTGGCAGTGAGTGGAAATCGAACTCATGTTGCCTGGTTCGTAGCGCAGCAGGCTATTGGTTACATTTCCGCACACAACAGCCACCATTCGCCACGAAGTGAGCTCTACCAGTATGAGTGCAAAGGAACATACACCGACTGACTGCAGAAGCTACTGGTCAAATTGCCTCCTCTCCCAGTTCCAGAGAAGATTTTGCCCACACATTGCAAATGTCACCAATCACAATATTCTGGGTTCAACACTCTGGTGAAATGTAGTGGCCACTGATTAGTAAGACAATCAGAGTTGTTAGATATAGTTAAGTCTGTCTTTAAAACTCACCTCTGTAAACTGATCTTCATACCCCGCCTAGTTTTGCCGTTTACCAGAGCGAGTGGGTGAGTGATTGGGTTACTGAGTGGGTGAGTAGGTGACTGATTGAGTAGAGAGTGAGTGGGTCATACAGTGAGTGAGTGACTGAGTTAGTGGGTAAATTATGTTTTACCCGCCCTTGAGTTTTGGACCTGGAGGATGTGTATGTTTCGTACTTTTGATACACGGCACAAGATTTTTATTTTATTATATCCCTTCTACGTGACTTACCAAAAGAACCAAGAATATGAATCCCTGCAGTCACGAAAGCTTTAAAACAAAATCTTAACACCTGTTTTGGAGAAAACATATTCTCTCAACAGAATTGCTGTTAAGTTGGTTTTGTTAACCTGTAATTTTGGAATGCGTTGATGTCTGCCCGCCAAGTCGCCCTTAAAAAATAGCGTGTTACTCGTGAAATTCACTTCTGATAGTGAGTGGGCCAGTGAGTGTGGGTGAGTGGGAGGGCGAGTGAGAAGGCGAGTGGGAGAGTGAATGAGCGAGTGGGAGAGTGGATGGATGAGTGAGCGAGTTATAGAGTGGGTGGGAGAGTGGATGAGTGAGTGGACGGATGAGTGAGTGGGCCAGTGAGCTTAATAATTAAATGCTTTCATGTCTGCCGGTTGAGTCGCCCTTGAAAATAAATAAGCTCCTTAGTTCAATGGACTTCAATGGGGAAATAAACTTCTGGACTGGTATCGTCCAAATATTGCAATGCTGAACAAAT